TGGAGAGTGAGTGGAATAAAGTGTCAGCTTGACCATTGAGAGTAGTAGGAAATACCTGACAAAGAAGTACATCAAAATCTTGTTGGATATACATGATAATCCTATAATGATAAATATGTTCATAGGGATCAAGAGATTTATCATATGGATTAATAATTGGTAGTTTGAATCCTACTAGAATTGGATGCGAGAAAATTTCCTTTATTTAGAGTGATGATTCCTGGAAGCTACATCAATGAGTAAATTGATTTAATTCCCTTTAAGAGAATTCCTCCTAACTAAGAAATCGCAACATATCTCTTATAACCTAATGAGGGGCATCCATAAAATGACGTTGATCTATGTCCTCTATGATTGGTGAAGGATTATAGTTTGGTCAAATAATGCAGAGAGGATTTGTTGGACTAGTTATATTGAAGAGAACTTCAAGATCTTGTGGGGAAGGAGGTGCTCCATAATCAGCATTATCTCTAAACTATTGTTAATTTTGTGGAGGAAGAACTCTATTATGTTGTGATGGTGTCCTTCATAGTCCAGTCTCCTAAAAAATATAGGATTTGACTTTGAATTTTCGCCATCCTACACATATGGTCCTCTAAAGTGTGGCCTAAGTGAACTTCATCACCTGCATTTTATTGTAGTTGATTGAGGGATTGATTGTTAGTCATTGAAGAAGTATATTAGTAATGTTCCCACAAATGATACCAAACTGTTATATGCTAGAAAATTTGTGCTAGTAGAGTATATGTTTTACCTCCCAACATTTTCTAAAAAGTTAACATGCATAGATAAAAGTAGTATGAATGGAAAATTTTTTTAAGGAAAACCTGAAAACAAAATATTAAGTGATACAAGAATCATGATTTCTTCACTAGAAGAAGAAGAGAATTAAATACATGTTTGACTTTCCCATATGAAGATTACATAAATCAAATATCCATAGAGGGACAATCTACACTCAATAACAGGGCATGAATCTTGTCAGTATTGTAGAGATGGTGGCGATTTCTGATGATGATCATTAGTGGCGATGGTGGTTGTTAGTGACTATAACTAGTGGTGGTTGTCGACGATGATAGCTGAAAATGCAAGAGAGCTCTCTCTAGTTCTCTCTATTCGTCATCCCCCTCATGTGAAGAATTGGGCTCTATTTATAGGTTTTTATGGATGTGCATTTTGGTAATTTGAAGCAGAATCCAAAATACTCCAACATACGACTCATATTGATTCTTTTGATCAAAAAGCATTTATTTAGTTTTTAAGTGCATTAATGATGTCATAATTTAGTGATCTTAGGCTCTTTGGATTTGTATCATCAAGCCGCTCAATTCGACTATCAACATGCCAAATTTGAATATCATAAATAATGCTCTGAAGCTTCCAAATATACTTATTTGGGCTCATTTTTTACCAATTTTAGTGTCGTTGGATTCATCTTGCAAAGATGTTTAGTATAACTATAAGTTTATTGAGATTGGAGTTAGAATGGTCCCAAATTTAATTTTAAAAGTTTTTAATTAAGATATGACTCGAGATTAATGTCTGAACAAGGTGATTTTTGTCGACATATTAATGATAAAGTCTCAAGTTGGCTATTTAATATAATAAGGTTTATACCTAAAAAATTGTTTAATAAAGTTTGGCTAGGCATATCATTCATTGTTTGTCAAACATTGAAAATGAATCACAATGATTCAAGCATTACACACGCATAAACTACTCAATGTTAATGAAATTTGTTATTGAGCTCTTCCTTGGGTTATAAAGTATTTGTCATATTTTCAATGATTAAATTTTTCTTCTTATAAAATACATTGACTTCTATAAACAAATTATTCCATCAATCATCTCTTATATTATGTAGCCTTTATTTTGACACTTTCACTAAGTCATGACATTTATGTTATCTCTTATCCTTTCTTAGCAACAATCGAGATAACTTATTTGGCACCCAAAATACAGACTTCATCATAAAAAAAATAAAAATAAATTCAAAGCATTGTACACCATTAAGTAGGGCCAATTTTATGATTCAAACATCTACCTTTGAAAACTTCACCACTTTTTAGTTATTCAATTATTTTATTAAATTATTTCTCTTGTAGTAGATATCTTCTTTTATATGAGCTCCCGACAATTTTTAAATTAATAATTGAATTAAAAAATAAATAAAATGACTATTATTTTTAGCAATAATGATTAATGCTAGTTGGAGCTTATGAACAAAATAATATACATAATAAGATGAATTATTTTCTTTAATAATCAAAGTTTTTAGCTCATTGAACTCATCATGTAGGTTTCTAGAGCCATCATAATCTTGCCCAAGTAATTGTGCTATACTCAAATCGTATCTCTTGAGAAGTACTTCAATAGCCTTTCTTTAGTATTATAGCATATATTTCTTCCACAAGTATGAGTCCAATAAAGTGCTTGATTACAAACCCCTTTTATGAACATAACATAGTGTTGCTGCCACTTGTTATTTTACTAATACATCATGAAATTCGTCCAATAATATTTCAAATAAATCATTTATTAGTTTGTTTATGAGAACATTAGAAGTTTTGATAATAACGACAAGTGTGATTTCCTTCCCATTGTCTGAAGTAATAAGTTTATTATTTCTAGGAGTATTATCTACGACCACTTTTTTATGCTTTCATTATGAGATGCAATTGCATAAATTTTAGAAAATTTCCTTGATTTCGGATTCACCAAAAGATAATCATTAGAAACCATACACAATCAGTTCTAGCAATTAATCGGGTCTTTGATTTTGATTAGGTCTTATATGTAAATCTAATATCTCGTTGTTGATTTTTTAAATCTTTACATATTTTCATGCAATATTAAGAGCACTATTAAATTGTTCTATATAAACTGAATTTTATCTTTCTTTTCAAATTTTGAAATCCCTTTATGTCAAAATTATCTACACTTGCTTTTCTCCTTTTTCAGTCCTACAAAAATAACAAAATAAGCTATATGTAATATCTTTTGTGATGTTGTACTCCAAACAGGCTTTGTAATCATCAAACCAAACATAATTAAATCTACACGATTTATTTTCAATTTGAATACGTGAGAATTCATGATCTTGAGACTAATAAGGTTCTTTTAGTAAGTAAGATCTTTGTATTATGTCCCTATCATTTTGATGATAATCATTTTTTTTTTTTATTTCAGGTTCAACAAGTAGATCGTCAACATTAGTTTCATCATGAAGATATTTTTATATATCAAGTTGTCAATTTGGCTGATCTAAAAGACTAAATAAATATTGTGGTCTGATTTGGTTCACATAAAAGGACCATATGGCAACCAAATTCAATGATTAAAGCATTGCATAACAATGATATCAAGAGATATTTAATTAGCAAGCCAAAAAATAATAGATCGATTATGTCAAACTTTTCAAGTACAATCGGGCATCAACGACAACGTCTGCAGGCTATCATCATTGATGTTGAGGTAGAGTGGTATCTACTAGAGGAGAAATTATTACGTGCGATCACCCAACCGTTCGGAGGAGAATTAGGATGCACTACATCATCCCGTACACAACATTGATACACGATAAAATTGTGATGTGATACATCCTTATTAACCTTCGGATGACATCTGGTGACCCTATGACATCTGGCGATCACACGTAATAATTTCTCCTACTAGAGAGGAAGAGGGATAGCAAGATAGAGCCAGATTCTGATAGCCTTTTGATGATGACATTTAAGGCTTTTTTTGGACTCACGACCTCATGAGATTTAAGAGGTTAAAGAGAGCTGACTTAAAATTAGGTATGTTTATATATATATAACACGCTATGACATGACCACCTAATACAACAAATAAAAAAAAAAAAATTTACATACATACCAATTTATAACATCTTATTTACATATTTAACACCCAAAACTTTAATATTACATGCATGCCATGCACCCTATATTATTATAATATCAAATATACCACTTGTAGTTCTTTCCTACCACTCATATATTTCATTTATACCACTCATATTTGATATGAAAATGAACTATGGGTGATATACTGATATGTATGCAATATTAAAGTTTTAAGTGTCACATGTGTAAATAGAATAGTATAAAATGGTATGTATGTAAATCTTCCCATACATAAAAAAAAAAAAAAACTAGTGTGCAAATGGTTGCAGATTTAAGAATTAACTAAACCTCTTATATTATGCTATAAAATTTTAAAGTTTAAACCGTTAAAAAAGTTTTTCAAATTAAAATAAAGATTGTTTGATATAATTTTTTTATTGTTTAGCTTTTAAAAAAAAAATAATCACAATGATTGTTATTTTTTATTGCCTTCTTCTTACTTTTTAAAAATCCCTATTATAAAAAATAATTTCATACAACTATAATAACTAAATTATTTTTCTCACAATAATTTCATAACTAATTTTACAAAACACTGCAACAACCTAAAGCAGGCCCTTAAACAAACCCAAAATTTGTTTAGACCAATTTGATTCAATTAAAAAAAACCAAAATATAATTAAAATTAAGAAAATCCAAATATTTTTAGCTAAAATAAAATGTGAAAATTTATATACATGTCAAAATTCATATAGATAGCTCTTTTACTTTTTTACTCACGCTTCACGAGGTATATGAATTTAATATTTAAAAAATAACATAATTCCATTTCTTTTAATTTGATCCAGTTTATAAAAATAAAATCAGATCAATAATAAAAAATTTAAGAAAAAGTCAACATTACAACTATTAACCAAATGCAAATAAACCAAACAAAACAATAAAGTCAAATCAAATAGATTTTTTAAATCCAAATCAAACAACCCTAATTAAAAAATATTAAACACAAAAATTCATTCAATAAAATATTATAATAATATATCTTAACTCACGAATATTATTTAAAAATTACATAAACAAAATAAATATATTAAAAATTCATATAATAATGAAGTTATTTCAAGAGATCATAGATAAAAAAGTTCCTTACAATTATTAAATACCCATTAACTTGTTGATACACAAAACGAGCATATTCTACACAAGTTTAATACATGACCACCTTCATTCCATAGAACATAAAATGATAGTCTGTACCAACATAATCTTCACAATAATAGCAATTAACAAGAGAGAATTTCTCCACAAGTCAGCAGACAGTCACAAACTGTACTCATATTATTAAAAATTTATTACTTAAAGCTTATCCTTCGATGTAATAATAAATGATTTTTTCCACTGAAAATGCAAATAAAGATTCAAAATGGCTAAAGCAGATATGGTAGTTATCATAAGAAAGATGAGAGAGAATCTGTATTATGCATCGCAGAGAAAAAGGCGATGACAACCCACATCATAAGGATGGCTAAGATGGCAGTTCTTAAAATATGATCACAGCCACTGATGAATGGAAGTTCGGTGGATGGTAAATCATTTGTATCGAAAGCATCATTATCCACATTTCCACTGGATTCACCTTCGCTGATCTCCTGAGTAAGACCAGAGGAATTATTTGCTGATAGCATTCTGCACCTTGAGCATTCACAATCACTTCCAAGAAATGCTGGTACTGTTCTAAGAAATTCAGAAAGAAACTTCTGATTCTTTTTTCCAAGAATCCGCAATTTTTCTCGTGTTGCAGGCCTCAGAATCTAAATAAATAATAAACCAAGAAAAAATTAGGGCTGTCAACAAAAGCTTGCTCATATTCAATCATGTTGTTTGGTTCGATAATTAGCTCCTATATTTAATGACAACAACAACAACATCATCAAGCCTTCATCCCACTACGTGGGGTCAGCTATACGAATCTTTTTTCTCCATTGTGCTCTATTAAAAGTCAAATTCTAGTTTAAATCTTATAGAGAAAGATCATTTTTAATATTTTCTAACCAAGCCTTTTTAGGTTTGCCTCTACCTTTCTTAACATAGGTCAAATCTAATACCTCTATTTTCTAACCGGGTTATCGGAAGGCCGCTGTAGCTCCTATATTTAATGAGCCAAACAAAAAAAAGCTCAATTGTATTCAGCTTGGTAATAGCTTATATATGGCTTTCAAGTAGACTATCTATTCATAAATAACTCATATTCGGCCTTGACATGCTAACAAGCTTTACACAAACATAAAATTTATTTGCTTGCTTAACAAGCCGAACTGAGTAACACATGAGCCTAGTCAGGCTTTGACTTGTATATATCCCTGGACAAAATAATGTTAAGGATGGATATCTTACAAACGAATGATAATTCCCAGCTAAAACATTCAATCCAGCAAGAAATCGCATAACTATACCATCCTTATCCTTATTTCATGTGAATTATTTAAGATTAACCATTAAAAAATAACAAATATTCATTCAAAATATTTGTTAAAGAGGCATATCTGACAAATGTTAAACTGATATTTAGCTCAATTGCATTGACATGTAGCAAAATTTAAATATCACTTAAAAGAATAGAATTGGAGCATGAATGAAGTATCATGTAGCATGTATATTTTTTTAATTTGTTTAAGCTTCTTACTTTTTAAAACTCCTGAATTTGATATTTATTATTCGTAATTTCAATGTAATCGCATTAAAATTTAGTTCTTGAGAATTTTTCTTATTCATTAGTTTTATTTAATCTGAATATTTGTAAATATGTTATATTTTTTATTATTAATATTCCTAAAAATTAATTATTTAACGTATTTATCATATTATAGACACCATAAAAAATACAAAAAATAAGCAATTTTAAGTCCAAACTGAACTTTAGAGACCAACCCAACATTCATTTAACTGTCTTATAATTACAAAATGAGTAATTAATAGGTTCGGGTTCAAAGAAAATTGAAAAAAACAGAAGAAATTAAAATATGATATATGATGCATCTAAACAATCTTTAATTTACCCAACTGATTAATACCAAAACTTTGTACCATATAGAACTAGAAATAGAGGTCAAATCAAGTTGTCCTATTGTAACACTTGCCTAAACATAACCCAACTTTATATTTTATATTATCTTCAAATCACATTTTATCGACACATATTTCCCATTTTACCATGTTTAAGGGGTTGAAGAGTTTAATTCAAGAGCAAAAAATGAGGCAAGGGTGTGTCAAAATAGAAGGCCTTGTGCAAACATGTTAGTTTTGTCAAAATATCATTTATTAAAAAATCGGTTAGCCTAGTTCTAATATCCATAAAGTCTGCATAGTTCTCAACCAAACTAATAAAACCGATTTAAGAGAATTAAACTGAAACAAATAAAACAATAGAGTACGGTTACGGTGGATTGGTTAGGTCATCTATAATTCAAAAGGTGGTCAATTTGGAACCAATCAAGGTATGAAAATTACACATGCAAAATGTCAACTTAATAGTTCATTCGTTCATAAATAGTAATAAAAAAACAATCAAAAAAGGAAAGTTGTATATTAACAAAATAAATAAATAAAGAATTAGTTAAGAAAAGGAGTATCTTGCCTGAATAAAAGTCTGGGTGAGAACTCGGACAAGTGGAGGTAGTCTTAATATGAATAAAGTTCCTAATCGATTAGGATAGTGATCTTGTACAAGAATAGCACATGATCTCATCATATTCATGGGAAATCTAAATGGAGATAAACCATCACAATCCATCAAGACTGTAATTTGCGAATCTTTTTCATCAGTCAAATTCAATACACCAAGGTCAATCTGAGAAACTGTATCATAAAAAAATTTATATTAGTCAAGTGTAATATTTTCCTTCACAATCCTTCAACAGATTCTTATAAATATTCATATCAGAGAAATCAGTTTAAGAATGTAGGCATCACATACAATGCCCAAGACTGTAGATAAAGAAGTTTTCCTTGGAGACAAACAGTTTCAAGTGAGGAAGGAAATAAGACAGCATTAAGCATTCGTCAATAATTAAGAAGAATAAAAGGAGAACAGGTTCTACAATTTGATTGGCGCAATTCAACCACTTATAACTGATTTTAAGACTTTGTTAGTTTCCTTTGTCACTGCCACTGTTAGTAACTGGCTCATGAAGGTAGAGTAACCAAAAGAAGAAAACTTTTAGGAACAGTTTTGCATCAGAAAACCCAGAAAAATATAGCATTCCCATTTCATAGCACACAAAATTATGCTAATTATACCCAGTTTCTTCAAGCGCATTAGTTCCAAAATTTATAAGATTCCAGAAGTATCACGTAAATATTAAGAAAAACGCTATACATATTAAAAAACTACTACTCTTCTTAACCCAGATTTTGGTCACCCTTGCCAAAGAAAACCACATCCATTTTGGTGACAAGTCTTTAGGGTTGCCATTCTTCAGGGCTAAGCACCTAGCACCACTCAATTATATAAGAGCACATAGAAGCAATGCTCTTTCCAAGATTAATAGAAGACCGAAATTGTGCTAGGTTACATTAATAATGGTTAATCCATAGTTAAAAACAGATGATTAATAAATATATTTGCAACAAAGAAATTAATGAAATGCTATGCAAGTAATTTTGAAGTTCTACAAAAATACATAATTTAGAAAGATTTTGTTGCTAAATACATGAAAAAACTTCTGTCAACATAGATGGACGTTTCCCCTCATAAGGGTGTAATTCATTATACTCTCAACTTCAGTTTACCACTTTCTATCAGAAGAACACATAATTCACTTTTATCTACAACATGAAAATTACTTCAGGATAAAATTTTTATGAGCTTGCGTAGTGATTCAAACATCCATCTGTCTTGCACCGAAAAAGAGACAAGTCCAGTTAAAATTTTACTTTAAAAAATATCAAATATACACCTACCTATCACAAGCAACCAATGTGCTAAATTTTATATCATTTGAAATACTCTACCTATCACAATTGCAAGCTGCATACCATGCAATGGGGACCATCCATCGTATTGAACCATCCAATGCATCACAAGATTTTGAAAATGGTATTTCTCCTGTTCTCTTAGGAAGTGAAAAATCCATCCCGTCTAAATAGCTAAATTCATACATATCAAGATCAATAAGATCTTATCAGAAGTATTAAAAATAGTGTAGTATAGGAAAAATAGTTCCAAAAAGATCCAAAATAGGGAATTTTCAAAAGAAGGATTACATAAAAAATAAAAGGAAGAATACTAAGCATTGTCTACTCGATTATACAAAATTGTTCAGACTCATTGTTATAATATGATGCATGAGAATGATATAGTAAAAGATAAAGGTGATTAGGCAGCGTTTGCACCACTGCCAATAGAAAGAATATGCATGTCTAACAAGCTATTCCAGCATCATCTTTGTCAAATCACATGAGTCAATGTTACAATGAGATGCATGGCCACCGATACTAGTACAAAATAAAGGTGAATAGGAAGCTTTCAAACCATGGCTAATAGAAAGGAAAGCTAATGCGGGCTCTAAAAATTTTAGCTTTTGAGGCCCCGGCATCTCCAAATATATTTGAGGAGAGTTTTAATGATTCTTCTATGGGGAAAATTTCAAAAGACATATTAGTTAAAGATAAGACAATACCCAAATATTTTGCCCTCATATATGAAGACTTTAAGATCTGAGTTCTAATTTCCTATAGGCACAAACCTCTATAGTTAATTACCCCTCTTGAAAATGTGAGAGAGATTTTAATTAAGGTTAGTTGTTAGATAGAGACTAAGTACTTAACATATAGTAGCAACATATTTAAATATTTAGATATTAGAGAGAGAAATTTACCATCCTTTCACTAAAAGTGGATGGTGCGAGAATGATTATGAACCTGATCAAAATCTCATAGTTTCATCCTATGTCATTATGATCCCTAGTCTACTTGGTCAAAGGAGTTAGTCAACCCATCATGACTGAAGGATTCTTGTCAATAGTCATAGGTTACTTCATACAATTTCATTTATAGACATGAGATGAATGTTTGCCTAAGGGATGAATTTAAGTCAACATTAACAAACAGGGGACTTTCTGCCCTATTGATCATACCATATGAATCATTACTCAAGGGAATTTAGCAATTAGTGAACATACAGGCTTCAACCATGGCTGTAATATAGTGGGGTTGTTTGATCAAGCCACCGAGTTAGAGGCCTTGGTCATAATTATTTATCACGAGGAGCAGTTCGTCCAAGCCACAGATTCTTTATGGAGCCATTGGGCCAAGCCACCAGTTAGAGGACCAGTCATTACTATTTACCATGTAGCTACGATTTATGTGGAGTCGTTGGGCTAAGCTCGATTAGAGAACAAATGTCACATCCTTATTGGTAGTAAATTACTTAAAGAATGAATCTTAATAATATTCTTGATTGGACATTTGCTCTTTGTGAGCTGAAGTTATTCTTGAGTATATAACCCTCGCTAAATGATTGAGAATGATAGATGAGTTTCACTTTAAGCTTAGATGATTAAATTTCATTTTAAAATATTTTAAATTTCTTAAATAATAATAAATTTCAAATTAATTTTGGAGTTTGGAGGAATTTTAAAGGGACAAATTTTTTTACAATTGAGATCAACTTTCAATACGGCCATCATCAAGTATTCAAATAACTTGTATTTTAGTTATTTGAACATTGTCAACTATGCCCGCTTGCTAGTAGAGGATCGTGCTTGATCTAAGTGCACAATATATTTTGATGATAGTTTCCCCTCTGCTTGGCATACTTTCAACACGACACCATTTAGGATATAAATAATTCACATGTTATTATTTGAACCTTCTCAACTTTGTAGTCCCGTTTTTAGATGATCAGGTTCAACGATTGATTGTTAGAGTTATCGTACGAATGCTGAGAATCAAGAGATTATATTTTTATGATAAGTTTCTTTTAAATAGCCTTTGCATGCCTAATGTGAACTTTAAAATTAAAAATTCAGGTGAATTTGTGATTAGGTGTTTATTTGTTAATCCAAATCGTGTCGACTCCCAGTCCTTTCAAAAAGGAGGATTGGACTAGAATATTTAACCTATGCGGCTCTCTTGGACCTATAATTTAGGATTTTAGTATGACGGTCGGATCACATATGATTGATTAGTTTGAAAATTGGAATGATTATAACCCCGCACAACATTCTTAAATATTGGTGTTTGCAAATTTAGCACGTTTGTTGTAGCATATGCAGGAAAATTGAATTTTTTTTAAAGTAGAGTGAACATTTTTAATGCATCATCATTATGCATTTGCGTGATTTTTGAAGAACTTACATGATGCATATACATGCTTTCAACATATTGGTACGCTTCTTGATGTGCTCAGGCAATGCACTTGCACACACTTCAATGCATTCAGATAGTGTGTTCACACATTTTTAAATTATTTGAACGCTTTTCAATGTCTTAGTATATTTGTTGAGAAGACGTCCCTTGCCAAATTGTTTGACACTTCGTGATGCAGTGACATGTTTCTTGAGGTGGTAGCACACTTCTCAAGGCTTTCACATGATTGTCAAGGTTGTTGCATGCTTCGCAAGGCAGTGTTTAGATTTGAACATTTTTAATGAGTGTAGGGCTTTTAAAGCATTCAAATGTCGACATTTGCAAGAGTATATATTGTTGAAATGCATGCAACGCTTCATTTTGAGGCCTTAGGCATGTATTTTGTCTGCTTGTATGTTAATATTGCAGATCTAATAGAGTTTGAAGGCGAATTAGACTTTTCATTCATTTTATATAGGAGACATATTTAGTTCATTTGTTCTCATTTAAATTCTCATTCAACATAATTTGTAGAATATGTGTTCAGTTGAAGTTAGGAGGTCTTATAACTGTTTATAGCTGAATTGTCAGATTCTTCATAAGTCTCCTGCTTTTATTTGTAGGCGAATCGTAGTTTGCATCATATGCTTTATGTTCTTGACCTGTGGAAAGCAGTGCTTATTACAAGACTTACTTTTATCATTAAGCAGACTATTGTATGCTTTAAGAATCCCAATTCGTGCCCATGGGCAACTTGTAATTTTCATTGCAGGTCTACTGATATTGCCCATAGGTGAGCTATGTTTATTACAAATTGCTTGTTGTTGACCACAAATGGGCTTTTCTATTCGCCACAAATTCTATATTAAAGCCAGTAGGCAGGGGCTATTATGCTCCTTATGAGTCCCTTGTTGTTGCCCGTAAGCAGACTATCATTTTTCATTAGAAGCCCCTTGTCACTGTTCGTAGGCAAGCTGCCATTTTCATCACGACTTTTAAATATCATAGATTTTATTTAGTTGTAATTTTAACTTAATTTTTTATTTAGGTTTGATTCAATATAAGCATAACCAGTCTGAATTTCAAAAGCCTTTTGATGTCTTCCCCCACATAGGGCAATTGTTTTGGAATCTAGGCCTGCCCACCCCATCAAGAAAGTCATGATTGATATATTTAATCACACCATGCTACGAAAAGCATACATAGGTCTGGGGCACCTACACGAGAGCTCACAATTTTATCTATTGGGCTACGAATAGAGCGTACGAGTACTTAGGAGTGTCATAGCCATACTATGAAAAGTGCATATAGGGCCTACCTACTTCATCATGAGTGTCACGTACAAGCTTCCTCCTGACGTGCTAAGAAAAGCGCTTACAGGTTAACAGTTTTAAATATAGGAATTACGTAGAAGTATCTTATAACATCAAGTTCAACTCTAAATTCCTTCTTTCTTAATTCCCTAGTCATCCACATTTAATTCTTAAAAAAATTTAACATAATTAGCAACGACTCAGAAATCATCTGCAATATGTATATATATATATATATATATATATATATATATATATATATGTAGCTCAATTAGTATGGGGAGGAGTTGCAACTCGTGTGGGGTTATGATGTCTAGGTCTATACCTCATAGGCTCCTGAGGTCGCACTATCTCTATAGTCCATATGCTCCATAGCCTGTAGGCCTCAAATCATAGCCCATAGGCTTTCCCATATATAGCCTTCACTAGGTCGCACTGCTTATCGGGGTCACACCGCCCCTATCCGCCTATCACCTAACATGACATTTTCTTAGGCTTATATGATCCTTGCTTTTGCTTACATATGTTATGTGTCCATTTGCCAGGTATAAATATAAATATTCAAATGAATCAGTATGACTATACAATATATTAGTATATAAATGAAATTAACTGGATAATTCACATGTCCAATGTCCAATTTAAAATAATTGCACATAACAACATATAAAACTGTTAGAAAAATTTTGTTATCCTCAACAGATTGCATACTTTGTGAACGAGCACAGCATAAAAAATATTATATTATTCTGAAGGACAAAAATACTATTTCCTTAATGGACTTAATAACAAAATTTACAATTTAAAATTTTAACTGAGATTTTTCCTCATCCAATATTTGGTTGAATGAGGTTTAGTTTATTCTGAGATACAGTTGTCTCATAAGGGGACTCTATGATTAATTATATTTCAAGCATTTGGTACTCGAAAATTTTTTTGATTACACTAGTGGTTTCCTTTCTTTTAAAGATCATCAAAATATTAGCTAAGATTTTCATTTTGAAATTCATGAAATTATTATTTAAAAATTTTGCTCTTTAGGAATTTCAAGAATGAAGGAATCAACTTGAAATCGGATTTGGAATGGAAGCCAAAGGAGGAAAATATAGGAGCACTTGATTCTGAGGAAGCTCAGTGATGCTCGGACTATCCTATATTAGGGTTTCCATTTTAAATCATATTTTTGTTTAAGTTGATCATCTTAATTTAGAATGTTGCTGCTTACATTCCAAGAAACAAATGTTGAAGGAAATGCGTAGAAGTTAAGGGCTTATGACGTGACTAAAGTCAACAACGACCTCAGACCCTAGAACTAAGGTGAAGACTAACAGCTCTTTCCACAAGCAGAAAACTTTCAGCCTGCCTTCTACACCAACAGCTCTTTCCACGTTCTTCACAGTACTCGTCTCCACCTGGAGCACGAGGAAGATGAGGGAGCTGAGGAGGCGGCTCCTGCACTTGTTCTTGCACCTGCTCCGCTCCACCAGCACTCACAGCTAGATCAGCTGGTGGAGCGGTTCGACCAATGGGAGGCTCGGTTTGACACTTACGTTTCTGCACAGGAGCAGCAGCATGTGGAGGATGTTGCTCGATTTGACTCGTACGTGACTCACCAGCAGCAGCAGCAGCACGACCAGGACATGGCCTAGTTTGGGGAGCAGTTTGCAGCTATCTCCAGTTTCTTTCAGCCACCACCACCACCTTTTGATGATCAGGGCCCGTCCTACTTATAGTTTGTTTTCCTTGTGTCGCTTTTTCTGTAATGTAGTTTGTTGCTTTTTGGTAATTTCTGTTCTTTCTTCTATAGTTTTCTCATTTTTGTGATGTCAAAAAGGGGAGTAGAGGTAGTGTTTTATGTTGTTTCGTTCTATTATTTTCTGTTTAGTATTTGTACCACCAGTTTGTTTATTAAATTTGAACTTCTTGATTCACATTATTTTTCCTTGTGATGTTTCAATTAAACTGCTTAAATTGTTTTTGTTTGTCATTATCAAAAAAGGGGAGATTGTTGCGAATTTGTATTCAGGAATTATAATTTTGATGATAGCAAATATTTTCTAACACTTATGTTTTTCTACGACTGTCTTGCCAACTAACGTTTCAGGACCATAAGGTCAATTGCAAATCAAGCCAGCTCAAGAATGGGTAGACAATGAGTGAGTCAGTCTGTAAGTGCACGTCAAGGGTTTTTACATTTTCTTAAGTCAATTGTAACAAGTGGATCCTGATGCTGAGTAATCTTGCACACACACACTCAGGGAAAAATTCTCTGTGTTTAGAATTTTTTGTTTTAGATCACATCGTCCGGGACAATCTGTTAAAAATAGAAACCCTAATTAGGACATCCTGGTTAAGGAAGCCGCAATTAGGCAAATCGTCCTGAACGATATATCATTGTCCTTGACGATAGGACCAAATCAGAAAGGATCAGCCGTCAGATCTTGTTAGGCATGTTTTATTTTTTGACATCGTTCAGGATGTCCTGGACGATGTAGTGCAACTATGCCTAATTGTTGACCCCTACAACCAACCCGAATCTTAAATTTGATAAAAAAAGGATTCAGTTTGAATATGGATTGCATTAAATTTGATTATGCACTAGTTGAGGAAGCAAATTAAATGACGAACACCAAGCTTCTATTAATGGGGGGCTGATTAGTACATAAACATTTCTCTTCTATCTATAGTGGGCCATGGCAGTATGGGAAAGACAACTCTCCTACAACATGTTTATGAAGATGAAATGACAAAAGAATTTGATCTTAAAACGTGAGTTTTTGTTTCCAACAACTTTGATATACAAAAAAAAAGAGAGTGAAATTGTCTTGGACGATCAGTTTAGTTTTTCATCGTCCAGACATGCATTTGCGATGTTCTGGATGATACTCAACAATTTGAACTAATCGAACAAGACGATCCGTCGATCATCCTGGACGATATTGTCGATTTGTTGCAATTAAGAGCAAATTTGAAGCTCTTCTATATAAGGCCTCTTCTTTACCCAAGATTGTATCTTTTGCTACTATCTTGACCTAAGAGAGCCAAGAGAAGAGGGAGAGCAAGGGAGAGAGAGAGAGGATCTTGTGAGGAAGAGTTTGTGATGGGTTTCACAGAGGTTGTTTCAAGCAAGGATTTGAGTCATCTTCTCCGGTCATCATCCCTGGTTCCTTGGAGGTTCGAGAGAGGTCTATTTCAACAACTGATCAAGATTCTCTGCCTGCTTCAGGAGGAAGTGAAGGACTTGAGTTCTCTGCCTGCTTCAAGAGGAAGCGAAAGGAGTTGGGTTCTCTGCCTCACCAGAGTCGGTGGAAAAGAGGTTTGTACAGGCTTCTCCGCCTTTCTGTTGGAGCAAAAAGAGAGCCACTGAGTTTAATAAAATACCCGGATGAGAGACTCTGGAGAGTGGACGTAGATTAAGTTGACCGAACCACTATAAAATTATGTGTACTTTCTTACTGCTTTTCCGCACTTTAATTTTTTTATGGTGATTGTTTGGTTTAAGATACCTGACATAGACAGATGATCATATTCCTATTGCCTAACTAGGATAGAAGTACTCTATTATATGGTTCGCCAACAAGTGGGCATTGAACATCTTAAATACTAAGAAAATATAAATTAGAAGGCAATGAGACTAATTTATCGCACATAAATGGAAACCATGCATTCAAATTTAAAACTGCATTACAATTAAAAATACAATTCCCTGTTAGAAGTAGTTAAAGAAAAAGGAGTGCACTATTACACAGAATACCATCAAAGCCAAACAGGCTTTCTACACAGGAAAAGCTAATAGCATTGATCAGCAAAAAGAGATGCATACCAACAGCTTGAGCAAAGCGTGGTCTATCATGCGGAGCCAAAGTAGAGCATGCAAGTCCAAGGCGAATGACTAGGCAGGGCCGCATCATCACATCAAATCCATGCCAAAAAACCAAATGTGACCATACTTCAAGTTCTTGTGATGAGAGTATATTGTAAGACTCCCTCCATCGAATGGTCTTCTTTAGTGATGATACCAAGCATGCAAGGTCACCATTTGCAGCAGTATAGAACCTATGGAGTTCATCCTCATTAAACCTGGAAAGATCAACACTTACTCATTTTTTTCCTGGAGTTTAAGAATTTTCAGTTGGAACATAAAGAGCTGAATTAAACACCGTAGCAAGCAACCTTCATTGTTTCTTTTTCTTTTTCATTTCAATTGTTTCCATTGGCATGAATGGAAAAGAAAATTCATCATGATAAGTATTATTTTGGAGTTATCTAATTAATAGGTCCCTAAAGTTTAGGGTATGTTGACATAGACCGGTCAGTTATTTTAAAACCTTTGTCATGTCCGACTGTCATTTGAATTCTCTGTTGATGTATGGATCAAGCCTGTTAGGTTACAAATAGCTTAGAAATATTAATCCTAATCACTTGGCCCATAGCAAGATAAATTAATAGATAAATAGAATATTGATAAAAAAAACATTGTGCACAGTCTTTCAAGAAGAAAAAAAAAAACAACCGCATCATTAAGCTTATCCGAACAATTTGGTGTGCAATCGGAATTATTATACATTCATGTTTCTTGGCATCGACATCTAGACTAAAATCCATTTTGAAATAATCAATCACTTTCCTAACCCTTACTACATACCCTTTCACATTTTAAAATCTATTTTAAAATACCTATTAAACATTGGCTTTGCTAATCTCCATTCCATATAACCATGCAAATCATTATCATCAGCCTTGTCCAAGTGAATTGTGAAATCCAAAATAACATGATCAACATTATTGAGTGGCATCTAAGCAATGACTTTAAGAAATTTAAAAAAAAAAGATAGAAAATTTATCAAGTCTTGTTCTCCATTACTCCAACAAAGCTTAATTAAACATGATCTTAATTTCTAACTTCTAAGTAAAACACGTGAGCACCCACCCGTAGATCCTTTAGTCTTCAATAAATTAAGACCATCATTGTCCTGATCTTCCTGACACTATTCCGCACTGCAATAATTTTTCTAAATATCGCAAGTAATATCCCCATTTAGTAATGATAACAAGATTCACCAAGGATCATCAACTTTGGCTTGTGATTACTATCTAATTTAACAGCACAACTATCCTGAATATCAGATTCTAATGATATTTTTGGTACTTGATTGATTGTGGATTCTGTTGATGATGATTGATCTAAATCTCCTATTCAAGTTGCTATTTACTTCCTCTTTTTTTTTGAAATAATGATTGAAAAATCACAAAGTATGCGGTTGAATCAGTAATCTTGGAAATACAACATTCTCCTTTAATTAATTGGCCAGGGATCCTTTAAAGATATGTACACTCTCTCTGAAAGTTATTTCTCACTCTAGTTCTTCAATTTCCATAAAACGTGCTTCTCCTTTTTTCTTGCATCTTCGCTTATTTCTTCAGCAAAAAGGTCTAATTTACAACATTGATACCTCTCATTGATGTTGGACCTTTCTCACACCGTCTTCTTGTCATGCTTTTGATAACTGGTCTCCTAATTCTCAGAGACTCGGATATAAACAACTTCACGGAGAGCAATTCTTTCATTTCTATATCTATGCTTTACTGTAAACCAAAGCTAAAAAATTATAAAAATTACAGCCTCTCAATAATTAAAATATATTCACCCATGCATATTTCTGCATTAAAAAGCAAGATTACACCCAACACTCCACCAGTCGATGTCGTAGGGAAAGAAGAACTTGGACCCAAGGGGTCGGTTTTCTTGAAATCACTCAACAAAGAAGAAAATTTTAGGGCTTTTAAGGTTCTACTTCCAAGGCTACAATTCTAACAAGAACATTCAATTCTTTATATTTTAAAATTGAAAAAATTGAGAAAAAAACTTTTTATAGAATTAAACACTATCGTTGCCAAGTCCCAAGTTCTGGATGAAAAAAGTGGACGATTGCGTTAGGTAGGAGACAACCAGCGTAAAACTTGTCTAATCATCATGACATGAATCCTTTAATACATTGTGTTAATGCTAGGGCGTTCCCTTGAAGCAACACACTGTATGACCTGAATACAGCAACAAGTGTGCAATGGCCGATGCGCTGGCGCCCGGATGCAGTATTAAATAGGCAAGGGTTCCCACATCAAGGACGGATGTGGGCAAAGAAGCTAGTCCATGAAACTAAAATTATGATATGATTTTGGAATATAAGTTCCCTTACAAGAAAATTAATAAAATTAATATATATTATGATTCATAGGAAAATAAATATTATGTGCATTCAGGAAACTAAATAGGTTGGAGAAAGGCTAAGGAGATTGATAGTTTAGAATTTAAACTATGGTATTCGGATAATAGTCATAATAGAAATGGTGTAGGTGTGATTATAGATAAGAGTTTGAATAATAGTGTTATAAAAATTAATAGAATTGAAGATATAATTATAATTTTAAAAATTGTTGTTGATGCTAAAATTATTAATATTATAAGTGCTTATACTCCTCAAGTAGGTTTGGATATGTATTTAAAATTAAAATTTTAAAATGACATAGAAGAATTAATACAAAAAATACCTCTTGAAGAAAGAGTTTTTATTAGAGTGGATTTAAATGTTTGTAGAGAGCTAGATGATTTTAAAAGCATTCATGGTGATCATGGGTTTGGAACAACTAATGAAAGTGATAAGACCATATTAGATTTTTCTT